AAGGAAGGAAGGAAGGAAGGAAGGAAGGAAGGAAGGAAGGAAGGAAGTTTCAGCAATGAGGTTTGGGTGGGGAGGGAGCGAGGGAGCAGTGAACAAATAAGCATGCCCAAAGCTGAAATGCCAAATATCAGGACCATCCAACAGAGGTAGCCTGGCTATACAAGCGTGAAATTATTAGTCCTCCAAAAAAATCCCAATCTTAGCAACCTTAAGACATGTGGACCTCAACTCCCAGAAGTCAACAAGGGAAACCACTGCTGGAGAAAACCACCTCTTGTGAATTTGGGAGTTGGAAGTCCACGAATCTCAAAAGTTGCCACGGTTGGGAAACCGTCATAAAGGAACTAAGCAGGGGGGGGGGTCAAGAATGCTTTTTTTAAAGTTTGTTTTGTTCGTTAGCTCTGTTAGAAAGAAAAATGTTACGTTTCCTGGCAGTTCAACATTATTGCTCACTTCTAATATTCTATCAACTTTTGCTTTACACTCCACTTGTTTCCCTATTTCTGAGGGCATATCTTTCATAAGAATATTTAAATACAGGTAGTCCTTGACTTACAACACTTCATGTAGTGACCGTTCAAAGTTACAACGGCACTGAAAAAAAGTGACTTATGACCGGCTTTCACTGTTATGACCTTTGTAGCATCCCCACGATTGTGTGATCAAAAATTCAGGTCCTTGGCCACTGGTTCATACATATGACGGTTGCTGTGTCCCAACATACGACAGTTGCTGTGTGATCAATGTTTGCAAAGCCAAGGGGGAAGCCAGATTCATTTAACAACCAGGAGACTAAATTATCCAACTGTATAGTGAGTCATTGAATTACTGTGGCAAGAAAGGCAATGGCACTTAGACTTATATACCCGCTTCACAGAACTTTAAGCAGTTTACAGAGTCAGCATGTTACTGTTCCCCCAACAATCGGGGTCCTCATTTTACCGACCTCGGAAGGACAGAAGGCTGAGTCAACCTTGAGCCGGTCAGGATCAAACTGCCAAATTTGCTGGCAGCTGGCAGTCAGCAGAAGTAGCCTGCAGTACTGCAAATTCTAACCACTGTGCCCCCCGCGGCTCTCATGACTCACTTAACGAGAGACTTCAGGCTCAACCGTGGTCGTAAGTTGAGGACCGCCTGCAAAAGGCACCAATCCAAGCGTCCCAGACTCACCTCTGCGCATTAACTGTCGCGAGGAAAACCTCCTGTAGGTGTGGAGTCTCCGGTGCCGAGACAAGTTGGATTGCCACTTGAACAACTTGCCACACTCGAGACATTGGTAAGGTCTCTCGTCGGTGTGGACTTTCATGTGTTCGGTGAGTCCTGACTGGCTACTTTTAACGATGCCGCATTTAAAGCAGATGTATTCCTCTTTAGTTTGGCCGCCAGACTTTCGCTTCTTGGCTCTTTTCACGCATCTGTTGGTATCATCCAGCGGGAGGTGAATCTTCAGGTGATTCTCAAAATACGACCTGCCTCGGTATGTTTTCCCACATTCCAGGCACTTGAGCAGCTCTTTCGCTGCATGGGTTTTCATGTGCCTTAGCAGATCTGAGTAGAAGTAACTTTTGTGCCCGCACTCGGGACAGGCGTGCTTCTTCTCCGTTGGGTAGTATTTGTTTTTTTTATGAAAGGCTCTCCTCCGACGTCGGGTGCATTTCTTCTTCTGCGCCTCTCCCTGCTGCCTTGCGCCCAGCCGTTTCTCGGGATCAAGCGGGGAAGACTCCGAACTCAAGGAAGTGGCGCCCGAGGATTCTTCTCCTTGCAGGGTCTCAAAGTCGTCTTCGGCCTCTGAAATGGCCTGTTGAAAAGTCTCTATTTTGATCTCCCCTATGATTCTTCCACCTGGTGCCGAAGGGCAGGAGAAAACGCGAGAAGTCACTTTCGTACACCAGGGACCCGTACAAATGCGAGTTTTTGTTTCAGCCGAACAGTGAGGTGAAATGACGTCAAGCAAACTTTGGCCCACCAATTCATTCACACATGTAGGACAGATGGGGAAGGAAGCGAAGTGTACAAGAACACAAGCGAGCGGTCAGACGAGGAGGCCCCGAACACATAATCAGTGGTGGGATTCAAATAATTCAACGACCGGTTTCTCTGCCCTAATGACCAGCTAGGTAGGTGTGGCTGGGTGATCATGTGACTGGGTGGACGTGGCCAACTCAACATTACTCATGTCGAGGGGCGCTTCGCCTCAGCCGGCCTCTCCCAACCCTGGCAACGCTGTAACGGTTGTAAGTATGAAAAAGGGTCCTAAGTCACTTCTTTCAGTGCCATTGATAACTTTGAATGGTCACTAAATGAGCTGTTGTAAGTCAAGGATTACCTGTGCAAAAATACAAAAAGCTTCTTGGCTTGCAAAAAGCTGCCCTAAATACCAATCATTAGATTAGAAATGGAGGAATACACACTGAAGATCAGTGACACTGGAAGCTGGAAGGATCCCTAGGGAATACCAGGACCTCACTGAAGTGTTCAGTGAGACTGAGTGAGATGCCCTCCCCCAACCATGCAATGGACCGTGCCATCGAAACCATCCCCGGGGCCAAACTTCCCAAACCCAAATTGTATGCCATGGCACCGCGGGAGATGAAAGAAATGTGCCAATGCATAGACAAAAACCTAGCAAGGGGGTTCATCGAACGGCAAAGCCACAAGTCGCAGCCCCAGTCCTATTCTAAAAAGAGGGACTATGAGATTATATGTTGACTTTCGTGCAATAAATGGAGTGTGTGCACATAATTTATACCCTCTCCCCCTCATGAAGGGCATGTTGTCTCACTTAGCCAAAGGAAAGGTCTTCATTAAACTAGACCTCAGAGAAGCTTATTACTGGGTCCAAATCAGAGAGGTAGACAAATGGAAAACCACCTTCAACTGCCCCCAGGAAGTTTCCAATTCAAAGTCATGCCTTTCGGGCGGCAGAGGGCCCTGGCAGGGTTTATACAACTGATCAATGAATTGCTGCATGAGCACCTCTAAAGGGAGTCCTCGTCTACCTGAACAACATTCTCATTTTTACCAAGACGTTAGAGAACCACATACCCCTAGTTCGTCAGGTACTTGAAAAGCTTTTGGTGGCAAATCAATGTCAAGCTGTTAAAATGCGAATTTCACCGCTCATGGCTAGACTACCTAGGCTACCAATTGTCAAAGGAGGAGATAAGAGATGGATCCAGCCAAAGTTCAGGCTGTCCTAGATTGGCAGCCCCCTCGCGCCCACGGACAGCTACAAAGCTTCCTGGGATTTGCAAACTTCTACAGGCAATTCATTCCCTCCTTTGCGAAAATTGCCAAACCAATGACAGTCCTCCTAAAAATATGAAGCCCAGGGGCAAAGCCCCGCCCTTGCCAATCCCTCCAGAGGGACCTCACTTGCCAAGCAGCATTTGGAACACTAAAACAGCTATTTGCAAGAGAACCAGTACTGAAACATCCCGACCGCGAACAACCTTCGTCATCCAAGCCGATGCCATGGTGTGAGCTGTCTTACTCCAAAAAAATTCCCAGAGGAACCTACAGCCCTGTGCCTATACATCCCGTAAACTCACTGACATGGAGACAGTGGGCACTATGGGAAAAGAAGGCTTTTGCGGTGAGATGGGCACTACTAAATTGGTGCCTTCTGGAAGTCTGAACTGATCATAAGAATCTGGGGGCCCTTAGGACACCATGGAAACTATCGCCAAAACAGGCCCGCTGGGCTCAATACTTCAACCAATTCAATTTCATGCTAAGACACGTATTTGCAAGGTAGTAAGCAGTATGGACTTTGTCCCACCCAAGAGAACCCCTCCCTCCTCAGTCAGTTTGACTGACTGGATGTCAATACTGAAAGCGCCCTGGGAAAATGTCAAGAAAGTGCTAGCTAAGGCGGCTCAGACCTATAAGCAACAGGCGGACAATCACCATGCCCCAAAACGGCTGTTCCAAGTGGGGGAAAAGATCTACCTTTCCACAAAATATTTAAGGCTAAAGCTTCCCAGCAAGAAGCTGGGACCTAAGTTCATGGGGCCATTCCCCACAGTAAAGATCATCAACCCAGTCACAGTGCAACTGGGGCTGCCCCGGCTACTGGGGAGAATATAATCCGAAGACTGGATTTTTATTGCCAGATGGCTTGAGACTACTAATTGTGTTAGGGCACTGGTCGTAATCCTGATAGCCAAGCTTACATCTTGCCTCTTGGAAGTACACCCAAAAGGACAGTGCCAGGAATCACTAAAGCAGTGTAAAAGGCTTTAAAAAAAAAGTCAAGCCCCTAATAAAAGTATCAGCCAAGGGAGAAAAACTCCAGAGAAGCAGCTCTGGATACTCTGGGCATACTGCCAAGAACCATTAACTGCTGTTACAGTGTAACAAGGCTTATAATCCAGAGGCAGTTTTGGAAAAATTCTTAAAGATAAACAAGATTAGGCTAGAAACAACACAAAAGGCACACCAGAACGTCTCCTTCCTGGCTTTCTGACAAGATTAACCCTGTAAAGTGGGAAAAACAAAAGGCTATTGGAAGGAACTGCTCAGAAAGTTAACAAATGGTTCTCCTTAACCGGTGCGAACCAGCTGAATCCCACCACTGAACTCCTCGACAGCCTCACATGGCAGTGAACAAGAATACACATTCCATTTTGCAGCTACTACGATTGTTGGACGAGCAGGCACAAAAACAGCCAGGGAAGTGATTGATGCCTGGGAAATGAGACCCCTCGTCCAACTGAGTGCTTATTTACCGTAAGTTTATCAAGTACTTACCAACAATAGCTGGCCATCAACACACCAATCAACAGCTAAAAAGCCCCACGTAACCAGGCACTATATAAATACCACACAGAGAAGAACCGCACTAGAAAGAGGTCCCCTGTGGATAGACTCAGAAAGCTTGAAAGACTAAGCCTCTGGTCCCGGTAACTGACCCAAATTGGATCCTGCCATTCATTCATAACCTTAATATTCCCAGGGGTGTATCCGGAATTTATACATTTTTTATTGTTTTTAATTGTTTTTAACTTGCATCACTGTGGAATAACTCTAGGACAGGATTGCTTAGATCTGGTCCTTGGGGCCGGCCTGGAAATAGCAAAGGATCAGCCAGCGATGCCTCTGCTAGCAAAAACAGGGGGTTGGAGGTTGCTGGTCCAAATTTGGCTGCAGCACCTACAAGATGTTGGCTTGACATCATAAAACAAGACCTTGAGTGATATTTCTCCCACTCTCCATCAAGGTGGTGGTTAAGCAGACATGCACACACATACACACTTACCAAAGTCAGGAATTTGGTCCCCCTGTACAGGCCTCTCCTGGAAGGTGGCTTGTGGTTGATCAGTTTGAGAGTTGACTTCAGGTGTAGGAACCAGGAGCCCTTCTTGGGTGGTCATATGTGAAAAAAAAAACAGACAAAGAGAACAGATGGATAATTGAGAATAATCCGCGTCCCATCTGAAAGGAAATCACTGTCAGCTTTGTAAGCCATATTAAAACCAGACGCTTTCACACTGCCACATTCTAGAGACTGGGAAAATGGGAGGGGGGAATTTCATGGGAGTGTGTGTGGTTAGACATAATAGCATCCTTCTTCTAAGTCAAGGTCATGTTCTTTCTGCACCTGGGTGAGAGGACGTCTCAAGTTGGGGCGGATGGTGATTGGGGCATGTGATGCGATGATGGGTGAAGGGGGTGGATTTATAGTTTTTACTTTATTGCAAGGAAACCTAGAATTTTCAGATTCAGAATTTCCCAGATTGCCAGTTTACTATTCAAATAAAACAGAATGTTTGAGAAGATGTCTGTCTCGGAGTTATTTGTTGGAAGTGGAAGTTTTTCTGGAATGCTGACAATCACATTTTCAGACTCCTGGTTTGGGAAAGTACAAGGTAGGTAGGGCTCCTCTAAGTCTCTGGAATGCTAATAGACAACTGATTCTGGAATTAATGACAACGGGATTTGGTAGACGCACCAATCATTGTAAAACACAATACAGGTAGTCCTCGACCTACAATGGTTCATTTAGTTCATTCAAAGTTACAGCACTGAAAAAAGGCACTTATGACCATTTTTCACAGCTACCACCTTTGCAGCATCCACATGACCATGTGATAAAAATTCAGACACTTGGCAACCGGTTCATATTTACGACTGCTGCTGTGTCCTAAGGTCATATGATCCCCTTTTGCGACCTCCTGACAAGCAAAGTCCATGGGGAAGCCAGATTCACTTAACAAACAAATTACTATCAATGGCATTGATGGCACTGACAGTGATTTACTTAACTGTGGCTAGCAGGGTCGTAAAATAGGGCAAAACTCACTTCACAAAAATCTCCCTTAACAACAGAAATTTTGAGCTCAATTGTGGTCATAAGTCAAGGACCCCCTGTACTGTCAAGATGCTTTGAAACTGGAATGCCCCAAATTCCAAGCTGGCACTAGTTTATCAGAGCCTTTTGATAACGAACGAAGTTGCTTCCTGCAAAGGCTCATGTCCCTTTGCTCCTTCTTTGTGTCTTATGGGCGGGGCCAATCATCTCCAAACCTTCCTTCCAAGTTGCGCCTTTTGTCTTAACTGCTCTTGCCTTCTGGCAGCTCTGCACATGCGCGCACTGGGAACAGGCTCCCCTTGTTCCTCTGTCTCGCTGATGTCAGATTCTGGAGGCTCTGGAGTCAGCCCATAACTCCCAGATGGCCCTGGCCCCATCTCTGTGTCGGACGCAGACCCCTCGTCCGAGCCTTCCCCAGACTCGAGGACTGGCCCATGTTCCTCCTGCCAACTCCGCAGGCTGCCGGCAGACCATAACAGCCAGACTATAATGGTCATAAATCTTAGGTTGTCAAACCAGGGCCAGAATAAAATGGGACAACTTGCCACGGCCAATTCAGGATAGGACAATTCATTGTGGGACAATTCAACAATTTAAAATAATTTAAAAATTATTTTTAATTTCTATCATTTACATTTCATTTTGTCCCTCCTTTGGCACCCTTTCTTTTAATGATTCTATCCCACCATTTCTTCCATATTAGTGTAACTCTTGTCCCCTGTCAAGTTGGCCATGGCGAATATGGTTTAATACACTGTTTCTCGACCGCAGTGACTTTTAAGAGGGGTGGACTTCAACTCCCAGAAGTTCCCCAACCGTGCTTGCTGGGGAATTCTGGGATTTGAAGTCCACACTTCTTAACAGTTACTGAGGTTGAGAAACATTGGCTTAAGGCCACCCTGACACCCTTCTCAATGCATCCAGCCATTTGAAAAAAAAAAAATATTTGCTCGGTCAGTTGTGTGAAGAAAACGGGAAGAAAACGTGGGCTCGAGTATAACAAGATGAGAGATACTCACCCAAAGCAGTGGAGCTGCTGCCACTCCCACGCATGACTTCCCAGTGAATGGGCTTCTGATCAAGGCCTAACTCATCCTTCACATGTACAGGACCCTGAAAGAGGGAGGAACGCCAGGTTCAGTTGTCGTCAAGCGTTTCTTAAAAGACACATTTGGCACAGGATTTTTGTCTTCTAAGACAATTAAGAGAGCAATTTCCATTTCACCCAGAAGCAGAGTCCGTATGTAATACTAATGACAGAACAACAGAGTTGGAAGGGACCTTGGAGATCTGCTAGTCCAACCCCACTGCTCAGGCAGGAAACCTCTACCATTTCAGAGAGGTGGTTGTCCAGTCTCTTCTTAAAAACTCCCAGTGTTGGAGCACTCACAACTTCTGGAGGCAAGTCGTTCTACCGATTAACTGTTCTGTCAAGAAAGTTCTAGGTTGCTTCCCTCCTTGATTAGTTTCCATCTGTTGCTTCTTGTCCTGTCTTCGGATGCGTTGGAGAATAGCTTGACTCCCTCTTCTTTGGGGCAACCCCTGAGATATTGGACAATTGCTATCCTGTCACCCCTGGTCCTTTTTTTAAATTGACCTAGACATACCCAATTTCTGCAACCGTTCTTCATATGTTTTAGCCTCCAGTCCCCTAATCATCCTGCTTGCTCTTCTCTGCACTCTTTCTAGAGTCTCAACATCTTTTTTTATAGTGTGGTGACCTAAACTGGATGTAGTATTCCAAGTGTGGCCTTGCCAAGGCATTATAAAGTGGCATTCACACACGTCACGTGATCTTGATTCTATCTTTCTTTTAATCCAGCCTAGAACGCTGTTGGCTTTTTTGGCAGCTGCAGCACACTGCTAGCTCATACTTGATTGTCCACTAGGACTCCAAGATCCCTCTCACAGTTACTACTATTGAGCTGGGTACCACTTATACTGTATGTCAGGATTCCAGCAATCGCCCTAATTAAATCATGATTCTTGAGCCAACCTTCAAAAAACTTCAAAGGATTTATTAGAGGTGACAATAGAAGCGACATTGTCCTGTATGAAGCCGACTCTGGCATATTAATTTACAGTCAGCTGTGACCCCGTTTCCCCTCTCCCCCCCCGGGTGTCTATCGGTTTTTCTTGGCTAAATGGAGAACCTTACTTTTTTCATCACTGAATTTCATTTTGTTAGAACTTCTAGAACAGGGGTGTCAAACTTGCGTCGTCACAGCGGCATCACGTGTCGTATCGGGACTTTTTTTCCCCACTTCACTAAACCAGGCAATGGCGTGACCAGCGCGTGACACATCTGGCCTGCAAGTTTGACAGGCCGGTTCTAGAATCAGTTTAACATGGCTTTCTTTTTTTAAGAGATCAACTTGGCTGCCAGATTGTTTACCAAATGAACTTTATGCTCTAATGAGCTTTAGCAGAACGTGCCAAATGATTTAAAGGTCATTTTCTTCCAGAAAAAGGCACAGCTGGCATATCGACCAAAACGGACAAGTGATGCTTTTGGTCATTGTTTCAGTCTGGGAGACAAGAGAAATCTGATTTCAGAAGCTTCTTCAAACTTTGTACCCACTTTATTTGGAAGGAGATTACCAAGCTCGGAAGACCTAACCCCTTTCTGCAATGGTGGCTCACCATCGTGAGAACCTCCATTTCATCTATGTTTTAAGGCAGAGGTGGGGAACCATGACCCCTTTATGACTTGTGGACTTCAACTCCCAGAATTCCTGAGCCAGCATGGGGAACGATGGCCCCTTTATGACTTGTGGACTTCAACTCCCAGAATTCCTGAGCCAGCATGGGGAACCATGACCCCTTTATGACTTGTGGACTTCAACTCCCAGAATTCCTGAGCCAGC